CGGGACGCGCGCGGGTGCCCCCCCCCCCCCCCCCCAGCTGACCAGGCTTTTGTTGCGGGACGCCTGGGGTAGAGCAGGTGGGGTGCTGCCGGTTTGGTCCTGCAGGGACCTACCCGGCAGTGCCCCAGCTGTTCTCTCCCAGGAGTCCAGATTCTGCCGCTGTTGAAACTGATCAGCGGCTGATTCCAGGAAGCTGGGGGCAGAGCAACTCTACCTAGGGCTTCCTGTAGTCAGCCGCTGATCAGTTTCAGCAGCGGCTGAATCTGGAGCCAGTTCCGACTTACATACAAATTCAACTTAAGAACAAACCTATAGTCCCTATCTTGTACGTTTCTCTCCCAGGAGTCCAGATTCTGCCGCTGTTGAAACTGATCAGCGGCTGATTCCAGGAAGCTGGGGGCAGAGCAACTCTACCTAGGGCTTCCTGTAGTCAGCCGCTGATCAGTTTCAGCAGCGGCTGAATCTGGAGCCAGTTCCGACTTACATACAAATTCAACTTAAGAACAAACCTATAGTCCCTATCTTGTACGTAACCTGGGGACTGCCTGTAATTATATAGGCTCCCTGTCACATTTGATATCCTTTTCACATGGACTTGCCTTTGGAGAGTGGGATAGAAAAGCCAGTTGTGACAATTTTGTGTCTCGAGGAAGTTTAACTTTACACACATTGGATTATGAAGATGCAGGAGTATACGAGGATTGCATAACAGCCCACTTCCAAACAACTTCAGGAGTTAAGAAATATAGTGTAAATATTTCCTTTGAACTTAAAGTGCGTAATCCCCTAGTAGATTATGATTAGGACAGTCCCGCTAAGGAAGAATTAAAATGTCCCACAACGAGTCCCGGCCCAGCCAGTGGGCTCACCACTACACCCACACATGGTGTGTTGATTAATCAGGTTCATTTTATGCACACTTTTGTAGTATTAAATTTGTCTAACTGGCAATTGGGGGAATTTAACTATTGTAAATCCACTGAAGTATCTTCCTTTTTCTCGGTACTCCTTGTGGATTAAAATCACCACTTATCAGCAATAAGTCAGAGACCTTGCAATGCTGGAAGCAGTAAATCCACCCAGTAAACTGGCTCTTATTCAGCAGAGGCGTGGTTTAGACGCTCTTGCAGCTTTAGGGTCCGCCTCAGAGCTATTTAGTTCGGGTATGTCTCTCTGGAACCGAATTGACCTTCATAAAATTCGTAAACATTTAAATTATGTGTTGCACCTGGAAGCTAATCAAATTTTAAATCCAATGCTGCAAGGGATTAGAGGATTAGCCCCAAAAGAGCATTTTACTGTTTATAATCTCTGTGACATTGAAGAACTTTTTAATGAAACCCAACAAAAGATTAACCAGCTGATTGCCCAAAATAATAATCAAAAAAAGGACTTAGCCATGGGTAAAGAAATTATTTGCTCTGCCTACGGAGACTGTTATAGATACAATTACTGAAACTTTGTATTCCCTTAGCATGGGAAGAGTCCCAAATTTGATTAAAGATGAGCAGTTACTTAATTGGTACTGCCTGAAATGCTTTCAGGGGCCTGTAAGGGAAAGATCTGCTTGCTTAGGTATCTGTCCACAGACATCCTTCGGGATCATGAGACAGTTGGGATCTGTGACACCACACCCCAACTGAGACAGCTGCTCGGTCTCCAAGACTTTTGCCGTGACACAGTCCTTGTATGTGTCATTCATGGTGTCTTTGCCCATGTTTCATCCAGACAAGAATGTATATGAGCAGTTGGCTGTGGTCAAGTCCATAGGTCACCTCGATGATGGCATCTATAAGAAACGCCTGGATGTACCTCCCTTGGTGGTCTATCATACACCGACCTGAACATGGAAAGTTCCACAGATGACCTGTTGCTCTGAAAAGGGGCCTCGGTTCATTAGTAGGTGTAACGTGTTCAAGGCAGACACTGTCCTGTGTAGACTCCAGGGAGAGTTGCATAACCACTCATCGTCATTACATGCAATCCAACTGACCGGATGGAAGACCCTTACAGAGAGGGTGACCTATGCCGGTAACAGCCAATTCTGCATAGTCACAAACCAGAGAACCTTCCAGTATGATTCCTTGGAGTATCCGGTCACAAACCCAAATTTTTGTTTTGTTCCAAAGCATTTTACTTCTATTGGTAATCAAGGGATCTTCCCCATCCATGCCTTTGAAAACATAACTACAATTATGTCAAACCCCCAATATCAAGATTTGGTGGTCCAAAGTACTCCAACATTTTTGGTCCACATTTCATCCTTAGGATTACATTTAAAAGAATTATTGGTTCGAAAAGACACCTATCTTATCCAACTTACCAATAATATAGACCAAGCGCAACAAACGTTTGTTCAAATGCTGGAGGAAGATGAACCTGAACTAGATGCCTCCTAGGAAATTTATAATCATAGATATGGGTTATTATCCAAGGAGTTGTAATTGGAATCGTGTTTTTTGTAATGGGATCCCTCTATTGTAAGGTTGTTTATCTATCCCAATACCTTACTTGGCGCCCCGTCCGAGTCATAATGACAGGGAACGGCGAATATGTTACTATTATTCTCGGAACCGAATATCGTAGCCTTTCCATCACACCTTCCATCTTGGAGTGATGGGATAATTTGCTTTTGCTATCACCCCATCAAAGGAGGGGATTTGTAGCCTGCCATTATATTATTTTGGTTTTTTTAAAATAGGTAGCTAGTAATGCAAGCCCTAAAGCGTTGATTTCCTCAGTATGATTTAGCTTTAGCATATACATATACATATACACAGGGCTCGACAAACTGCAGCGAAATCCACTCACCAGCCCCGCACCGTGCATGCGCCAGACCGGCATTGTGCATGCACGCGCCGCCAGTGAATGGGGCGACCAGCTGAAATCTACTTGCCACGGGCAAGTAGATACACGGATTTGTCGAGCCCTGCATATACATATACATATAGTGACAAATTAAGATTTTTTTTTTTTTGTTATTTTCCAAAAGATGTGTTAGGCAAGAGGTTTTGCAGTTGATGTGACAGGCTATTTCTTATATTCTTCTCGGAATCTGCAACAAAATCTGCTAACTTGTTGGTAACTGTTATTCCCTACTTCCTATATGAACCAGCAACAGATGTCCAAGACTAAACTGCAATTCTTCGCCTTGTCTTAGCAATTCTGGGATGACACCCAAGAAAGTGTCAGTCATGTCTGATGCATATTCATGAGTTCCCCCAGTATTTTCTCCAATTAGAGATAGTACCCACAGAAATCTTAGGGTATCAAGCTCAACTATGGGCAAAGGGTTGAACATTTGGAACATTTTGGCATCAAAAAGGATATTTAGACCTAGGAATTTGGGAGATTGGGACTGCTGCATCAGCCTTGGGCCTTCGGAGTGTTTTTATCTTTTCAGGTCAGAAACCAAATACTTATTTCTGTTCTTTCTTTAATTTTGCTTAAGTTTGCTTTTAGGAATTTCACCACCATCTGCTCCAAGGCGTTTCAGGCGAAGGAAGGCTGGTCCTTCTCCGCCCAGCCTTGGGGGGGTATTAAGATCTTGTGGGTATGAAATATTGTTAAATGATTACTCTTTGTATACTTAAGTAAGTGTTAATGTGATTGTGTTAATGCCATCTGGGGAAGGAATCCAGGTAATCTGTGTTCTTGCTGCCATATTCATAGTGGTTATTATCATCATCATCGTCTTCCCTTTGGCAATAAAATTGTTTTCTATTTTATTTCCTGAGTTAAAGTGTGGTTGCTGTCAATCACTTGCTGGCCCTCAAAAGGAGGAATCCTATGGTTCCACCACATTGTAACCTGGGATAGAGAGGACGAACTGAGAATTTCTGGTCAGATTGGCAAGCCTTACCCATCCAAATTTTAGTAGAGCTTCTTTCCAAGCTATACAGGGGCTGGACTCCCAGTGATCTTATACTTTAGCTGTTTACAGAGTGTGCACGCACTGGTTCAATGCCACTCTCAATATTCCCACGGAGCTGAGAACTGAGGTCATGTTATTTATCCCATACTCAGTTCTCAGCTAGGAAGCATAGGGCTGCAGATGATGAAGGCCATCTGATAAAGAACACCTGGTGTTTTTGCGGGCAGGGTTCATGGCTGACCTAAAGGAACAGAAATGTAACCTCTGCAGGCTTACAATACAACCTTCAATGTGAAAGTATGAGAACCAAGAGGGGCCCCAGCATCAAGTGACCTCCTGGGGACTCTCAGCCCCTTCTATAGACATGTCCCTAGGAAAAACAAAACCCATTTACAGAACATTGTCCTTATCCATAAGCCATCAAGTTTCTGAAATACCTTTAATGGCCCTTGCTTCTAGATTAGTAAAACCATCTTAAAATCATATTTCCAAAAGCGACAAAAAAAAAAAACTACACCACACACACACGCTTCAACAATGGTCCTGTAGCACTTTAGAGACTAACAAAGATATATAAATGGTATCATGAGCTTTCATGGGCACAACCCACTACTTCAGATGACCTTAGGATGCTACAGGCCCATTGTTGTTTTAATTTTTTTTTTCATTACAAACTAATATGGCTACCCCTCTGAGACTTTCATAGTTCTAAATTCAAGTACAGGAATAATACATGCACACAAACAGAATATACACATTCAGCAAGTTACAACTTGTTAAATTGTACCTCGTACAATATTTTGCACAAAAGCATTTTCCAATTATGAGCATATTTCCATAAGAATACCGATAGCCCTGTAACAGTCTCTAACCCAAAACAATCTTACACAAGACACAACAGATGAATATACACAGACAGATGGGAGAGTACAAGTAAATAATGAGATAATAACGAGGTCAATTTTTTTGCATATGCATCACTGGAAAGGAACTTTAAGGAAGTTTTTGAAGGAGTATTATCTATAAACATTCATGATGCTTAGCCCAGGATAAAGCACAAATTTGTGTGTCTTATGAGTGAACAAATGATTGATGGAGACTGGCCTTAAGAAAAAAAAAAAGTCACCTGGAATGGTTGGGTCATGTTTGTCGGCACCTGTGAACCAAGAGCTATTCCATAGCATCACCAGTCTCCTGTCAGGACAGAGACAGAATTTACCTGCACCCTTTTTCACTTTGCAGGTCAGTTCTCGTGCCTAATACAATGCGGGAATGAGAGAGAGAGAGAGAGAGAGAGAGAGAGAGAACCCCATCTGTGAGAACAGTTCTGTAACTTCCCCTTTAACCTCCCAGTAGCTCCTCTACCTCCCCAGCATCACTCCAACTCCTGAGTTCATAGTAGCAGCAGGGGACATACCTCACAGACCCATTGGCATGGGTGACAAGTTACATGGGCTTGAGGTGCCCATGCACCAGGAATATTCCTGGCCTAGGGCTTGGCTCCAGCAAACTTCAGGATAAGGCCTCTTCCCTGGCCCTGTATGCCACCACTGTGGACTCCCCCCAGTGCATCCCATGACCCACCTGATACCCCAAGCAACTTAAAACAGCCCAGGGAGTCCCAAAGCCACTAGTGCAGCTGTCAGCACAACACTGCAGCCCCAGGGAAAGGGGTGTCTCCACATGCTGCCCCTGCCCTAAAGCCAACAGGAAGCTAAAGGTGCAGTGTCTGAAGGCAGCAGCATGCGGAGACACCCCCAGCTCTCAACCAGTGTTCCCTGTAAGCAGATCAACACAGGTGCCATCCACTTGAGTGGCAGAGCACCAACCGCTGCCCTCAGCCAGCCCCATGTTGTTTCTTTTGATGCACATGCCTCAGTTTGTTCATGCACACAATTTGTTCCACATATGGATGGAAAAAAGTTAAGAGGCAACATTGCGCTCAAAGCCCCCCACCTAGGAGCCGTTGGCAGATGAGGGGGGCTCAGGTAAGCACATCCCTCCAAGCCCTAGTCCCTCCCAGTCTGCACCCAGACCCGCTCCTGCAGTACAGTTCCTCATTCAGCCTATGTA